GTTCAGCAACGTCATCATCCATATTGGAACAAATGACCTGGTACGTGATGAACCCAAGAAGGTAGCAGCCAACCTGGAAAACCTCATCAACAAAGTCAAGGTCCACACCGAGAAAATTGCAGTTTCAGGTACAATCAAGCGGTATGATGGTAAGCTAAACAATAAAAAAAATGAGCAATATAATAATTTAGTTGATGGTTTATGTTCTAAACATAAGATTACTTTTATTGATAATAGTTGCATAGACAAATCTTTATTAAACAGATCAAAACTACATTTAAATCGTGAAGGTGATAAAGCCTTAGGAGGTGCTTTCTGCACCTCCATAGAATTGGAAACACCAACATGGCTTCAAGTCGTAATGACAGCCATTTTTTTCGCCAAAGTTATGGGCACCAGAAAGACTGGACAATGTATCTGGCCCATGTAAAGCAAGTGATGAAACAGAAAGCAGATTAGAAACAACAAGGGGCAATGTGAGCAGCGATTTTATGAGAACCCTTAGCTCAATCCCAAATGAAAGAGGTTTTAAAATGGCTTTTCTGAATATTGTTAGTTTACCTAAAAAAATAGATGAAATTAATTTTTCAATGTCAAATAAGTTCATTGATCTGATTGCATTTAATGAGACACGACTTGATGCGAATGTAACAGATAATATGATTAACCTAGACGGTTATGATATTGTCAGAAAAGATAGATCAAGGAATGGTGGTGGAGTTTGTATTTACTTGCGTAGCTCCATCAACTACAAAATAAGAGACGATCTAGTTCCTTCTGAACTGGAAGCTGTTTGTGTTGAAATTATTAAGCCACATACCAAACCTTTTGTTGTTACGACAGTTTACCGACCACCCAGTGCATTATCAGAATTCTTTGATCATTTTGAAAAACTGATCAAAGCTATAGATAATGAAAATAAGGAAATGTACATTCTGGGTGATCTAAACTGTGATTTGCTAAGACTAGATAAAGATTATAACATACCAACAAAGAAAATAAAGTCTTTGTATGAATTATATCAGTTATCACAACTGATAGATGAAGCTACTCGAGTAACTATGACAATTACTAGTCTAATTAATACTAATAATAATACTAATAATAATAATAATAATAATAATAATAATAATAATAATAATAATAATAATAATCGACAATCGTGGTGCTGCATTAGAGCGTAGCGTTCTTCCAGGTTTATATACTTCCAGGTTTATATACTTCCAGGGTTAAATACTCAGGCCAAGAGGCCTTGTTGTAGATTACTCGGTGAGTATGCTTGAGGAGGTTTAATTGAGTTCTCTCCAAGGTTAGAAGCCATCCAAGCTGTAAGACATCTTTTCCAGAACAATAACGATTGGTGACGAAGCTGGCAGCAGCGTTTTGCACACGTTGCATTTTCTTTTGTAGGTATGCGGGGAGAGGATAGCAAACGACATCATTAAAGTTTAGCTTAGAAAGTACAAGACTTTCTGCTAATAGCTTTTTTGTATGATGGGCTGTCATATTCCGAATTTTGCGTAAAGTTTAAAGTACTCCATAACAAGACGAGACAAGTTCCTTTACATGATGTGACAATTTGTGATCCTCACTAAGCCACGTACCAAGTAATTTAAAATTTTCAACTCTCTCAAGGGATTGATTCTTTATGGTAAGAGGTGGCGTGATGTCTCCGAGATTATGAGTTCTTGACATCTGTCGAGTGCTTATGAGCATCTGCTTAGTCTTATTTTCATTCAACAAGAGATTGGATTCTGTGGCCCAAGTTTCGAGAGTTTGCATGTTGTCATTCATTTCTTGTACATATTGACTGAGGTTTTTAGGGGTACAACTACGGTAAACTGTTGTATCATCGGCGTATTGGAAGCACCTGCAGGTAAAATCATTTTGAAGATCGTTAACGTAAAGGTTGAAAAGCATGGGACCCAATATCGATCCCTGCGGAACACCAAACAACACGTCAGCTAGTTCAGATTGGCTGTCATTTACTTGAACAAGTTGTTTCCGACCAGTAAGGTAGTTAAGAATCCAATTTAACGATGAGTGTGAAAAGCCAATGGC